AGAAATCCTCAGAGGGTGAGGATGGATGGGGATTTCCAGTATCTGAGTCGAAAGAGTCCGCCTCCACTGGTAATTGAGCTTGTAATGGAGAGAACACCTTCGCATCCTGATTGGAAGACACTTCACAAAGCTGGTCATCCTCCTCAGAAGGGACGCTCTGCACAGTAGTCTCAGCTAAGGAAAACTGAGTAGTTTGTTGGGAACTCTTAGCTCTCGACGTCGAAGAGGAAGAAGTCTTTTGGGGAGCCCTCCTATTGTCAGTAACAGGCAGAGTATTCTGAGCCTGTTGACACCGAAGCGGGGAAGGTGAAGAACTCGAGGTCGAAGAAGAGGAATAGCACCTCCTCCTGTGCCTGCGGTAACATGAAGAGGATGATGATGATGTCGAGTCGGTATCGTAATGGCGACATCAATGTTTTGTTCTCCTCCTCCCTGAATGACTGCGCCCAGGTCGTTCATGCCTGTGTCTCTTCCGACGTCGGGAAGTCTCCAAGTCTGAATCACGACATCGATCGGACGAAGAATGCCGCCTTTTCGACCCCTTTTTGTGAGGAGGAAGGTCTCTCCTCAGAGAGCAAGAGGGGGAATGTGGAGTCTCAATTGCCCAGCCAGCAGTTGCAGGGCCAAGATGGGCAGAATGAGGGTTGGATAACACAGCCTCCTCAACCTTATCAGGGCTGGGTGAATGCCCAGGTTCAAGTGCTGCCTCAGACTGCTGGGAGAGTGGCAAAGATGGGGCTGCCTCAGACAGGGATTCCTGGTCCCTTGAAGAATCCTCCAAGACTGGCGAAGGCAGCGATGGTGTTACAGGTGGAAGAGAGGTGATCTCTTTAGCCTTAGATTTCTTAGGCTGTCCTGCCTGTTTTTTTAGGTTTCGCAGTGTCCTTGGAAACGGCCACTTTAGGCGTAGCAGAAGTCTTTTTTGAAGAACTTGGAGCAGGTTTTTTAAGGAGTTTTAGATGACTTAGAAGTGGATGTGGATGGGAGAGACACAGTAGTCTCAGAGCGAGGAGTCATAGAAGGATTGGAGGAAGTCTCCATCTCTGAGGGATGGGTTGCAAACAGAATCCTTTCCCACAAATAGAGCTTAAGTCTCTGTTGGTGTGCCTTTAAAGCAGCCTTGGTAAATTCTTTACAATGCTGACAAGTAGAAGTATTATGAGCATCCCTCAGGCAAAACAAACAAAGACTATGTTTAGCATAAAAGGGTATTTTCCTGGAGCACGCCCTACATACACTAAAAGGGCCTGACGGGGACATAAAACAGTAAAACAATAGGCTATAGGAGCCTGAGTTCTCACGGTAATCAGGAGAAATTGTCCTGAGGCAACGAGGTAAGTGGATAATGGTGCCTCCCACTGAGCTGATAATGGTGCCTCCCGCTGAAACAATCAGCCTGGCAATCAGGCAATCCACAAAGCATAGGAAACTGGTCAAACAAGAGCCAAAGTCCGTCAGGCAAAGGAATAGTCGAAGCAGTCCAAGATCAAGGGGCAACAGAAGTAAGAATATTTAGAAATACAGTCCAAAAGTCAAGCCGATTTGGTCAAAAAAGAGAGCTTTGTCCAAAAACGTTCCTAGCACAATGGCGGAAAATTAGGAACTGGAGACGGAGGGGGGGAATGGAGCATGCGTGCAAGGGGCAATCTAAACTATGTATCTTTTCAGAAAAAGTTCTAGAAGGTTCTGAAGTTCCAGGGCAGGTACTGATTTAACCCAAATGTGTGATTCACAGAGACCACGCTGAAGAACCAGTGCTTTAACAGTAACATACAGTAAGCTGAAGTTTCCTAGGCCTCATGTAACTATCACTCAGATGGTTTTTGATCAAAGTTTCTTCTGGGCCTGGATTCAGGGTTTAGGCTGGTAGTTACTGTTGAACTGCCTGGTATCACAGTGAAACTATTTGTCCAATCATCTGTCACATTCCAAAACAGGGAACAGTTATGCATCCTTACATCTCCTGATGGAGGAGGCTAAAAATCTACACAGGACCTGCTGCTCATCCAGTCCCTCCAGGCTTCTTAGTCCACTCCTTTCCTCCACTTTCTGTGTGGCATATTTGAAACACTGATCCATCACAAACTGGTACTCCAGTCCACAAGAGAATGAAAATAGACATGTACCACTAGATGCACCAGAGATACTGAAGTGTGTAATCCACACTGACAGTTGGACTGTACAAGAGCATGTATTGTTATGAACAATGGACAAACAATTTTATTTACTTATGAGGTTTATATCTATTTTCTTCCATCACTGAAACCCTGGTAGTATAGTTTGGGCATCCAGGAGTGTCCTATCCAGCCTCTTCTAGTGGCATCATGCATGTTCAAAGCCAAGTCTCATGATGATAAATGCCACCAGCTCTAGCAATCCTGATCACTTATTAGGCAGCAGGAGAAGAAGCAAAGGGTGCAAGAACTGTGATGGAAATAGAACCATATTAGTTAATGAACAGATCCACGTGCTGTATCGGACTGTATTCTGACTTAACTATTCGCCTGCAACTTAAGTTCAATCTTCATATGTTTTTCATTTATTTTTAAGTGTTTGTATCTACATCTTTTTCCCACAGCTGTAAGAATGATTTTTTTTAAAGCAAAATGCCTGTAACTTCTCAAAAGTTACATGTTGCTTTCACCATTTGGGTGGAAAGGTTTATCAGTTGTGACTGTGCCTTCCACATCTTTGAGCTGCACTGAATATTGTTCCTAGGAGAGCCACCGTCAGAAGGCAATATTAATATATATGTTGGTGTGGTGTGAGGCACTGAGTGCCAAGATCTGACTCGGAGATACCTAGGTTCTAGCCCCAGCTGAGTCATGTGGCTCACTTTGGTCAACCACCACAGTCCTGTTTGGATGCTTAGAACATGGGCCATTTTAATATGTGCCACACAACTCTGTCCTGGCCATCATGAACCTCCCCAACCATTTCAGTACCAGCAAGCAATAGTACGTAGAAGAAAGGTTCACTTACACTTGATTTATCAACAGCAGACAAGCCAAGTTGGCCCACAATAGAAAAGAAGATGGACATGGCATAAACTATGCACTATTGAAGAAATGAAATTGAGTAATCGCTGGAATGATGTCCTATAGGATGAGAATTGTTAATGGTGGTGTGGCAGATATAAGGAGTGGTTTATTTAGCTATCACTCCCTTCTCCAGGAACATCATAACAATGTATCATTAACCTCACAGCTGCCATTAGTCCAACTTAGGGATGGAATATGTAGCCCTTTCAGATATTTACCTACCAACTTTATATTTTATCATCAGCCATGCTCAAATCTGAAACATCTTGAGAAGTAACGGCTCCCCACTTCTACTCTAGAATAATAACAAATTATCTGTAAGATTTTGACGGAAACCAAATGCAGACAGACCCCAATGTTGAGACAACAATAATTCAAAATTACTGGAATTTTATTTGCCTCAGGCTTATGACTTGCAACCAAGGACATTGTGCAAAGAAAGCAAAGATTAAGTACACTTTGGGGAAAGGTGGCAAACCATATTGGTAACATAAAAGATAATCTGATGAGAAAAGTCATTCCTTATACTATATAGATTGCAATATTCAACAGCATTTAAAATCCAACATTTTTATGATCAAGAAAAAAAAGCAAGAGAGGGGAGCAAAAGTAAAGTTTACAGTAGACATAAATTTCATGTATACAATTCAAAAAGCTTTTTTCCCCCAAGAGATCACTGAGCATAAAATGAAGCAGTGGACAGGGCAAGGAGAAGCTAGCTACTGTACATTTAGAAGCTATTAAACAAAACTGCATATATGTACCACAGTGTAAAAACAAATACAGAACTAATGAAATCTTGAAAACTGCCTGATGAAAAATAAAATCACCAGTTGCTTTTAATGGCTCCTGGTTAGCAATGCTACAAAAGACATTGTTTTTCTTAATAATCTTTCTGATGCCAGGTGCTAGCATCTAATCAAATACTGAAACCAGGAATAGTCAAACCATTAGTAAGCTAAACCCAACCCATAGAAATATACTATCAACCCATGTTTTTTCCATCAAAAGATTTCCATTTTGTTATTTTATCTTTGAGGCCCATTTGGTCACAGTATGTTACATTTTCTTCCTTTTTTACACCATGATATCGTATGTTTGTCTGGCACTATCCTAAAGCTATTTCATAGATGATGTGAATACACAAACACCCCAATGCCTATCTGACAAAGTGAATTCACTAGGTGTAAAATGGGAGAAGAAAAAAAAGCTTCTCATTTAAAAACATTTGACCGTATGGATCACTCGTCATCGCTTCCACTTGCTTCCGACTGGTCCTAGATGTAAAAGGGACAGAGGGGAAAGGTTACTGGATGTGGGGGTGGATCATTAAAAAAAACAGAAGAGAAAAATTATGACAACAGATTTAATACAAAGGTTTTTAAAAAAGAAATTTGGTGCAATCTAGAGATAACTGGTCACTCTCAAGTTCCACCAATATAAATATAGTAAGCAGATTTCCTATACAGCGGTGCCTCGCTTAGCGATCGCTCCGTTGAGCGACAAAATCACTTAGCGACGGGGTTTAAGTTAGCGCAAAAGCGATTGCTCAGCGATGGTCCCTATGGGGAAAATTCACTTTGCGATGATCGCAGGGAAGCGATCACCGCAAAGCCCCCATTTTCGGCCAGCTGATCGGCGGTTTCAAAATGGCCACCGGAAAAACAAAATGGCCGCCCGCTGTGTTGCCTCGCTTTAAAGGCACCGAAAATGATCGCCCCTATGGAGGATTTTTGTTTGGCACCGAAAATGGTCGCCCCATGGAGGATTTTCGTTTGTTAGTTTTGAAGCCCATAGGAACGCATTAATGGCATTTTAATGCGTTTGTATGGACTTTTAAAATCCGTTTAGCGATGAAATCGCTTAGCAACATTTTTCCTGCATGGATTAATGTTGCTAAGCGAGGCACCACTGTATTTTTCAGTAAGACTTCAACACATATGATTATTTCTGAATGTCTTCTGAGCCAGATAAAGAAGCAGGTTATGTGCATGTTTCTAATGCCTGTGGTTAAAACACAATTTTAGGCACAAGCTTTTCACACAGGATGAGCACACATTTATACCTGGAATTGTGTATGAAATAGAAAATGACTTGATTCAGACAAGATATTTTGTACAATTAATACAGCTGATCTGCAAGAAGAAAACTGTCCCTATTTTCAATTATATTAGGTATGAAATTGAGGATTCAGGCATCCATTCCATGGCTGAAACTTATTTTATAAAGGCCTGTAGATTTGTGATTGATGTTCCAAGATCTCTGATTTCCAAAGAACTTTCGGCAGAAACTCATGAGAGGTCTTTTTTGGTGACTGCTCCCAGGCTGTGGTATTCCCTGCCAATAAAAACTGTCCAGTCCCCTCACTTTCAGCACACAGGAAAGGATGTTTTCATTCAGACAGGCCTGCTGTGCCTATTCTAAATATGTTTCAACTGGCTATTATTAAATTTACATATGTGTTTACCTCCCTTGCTTTTGTCCCATGCTATGCATATTTAAGGTAAAGGTTCCCCTTGACATTTTAGTCAGTCGTGTTCAACTCTAGGGGGCGGTGCTCATCCCTGTTTCCAAGCCGTAGAGCCAGCGTTTGTTCGAAGACAGTTTCCGTTGCCAGTACGGCTATACATGGAACGCTGTTTACCGTTCCACCGAGATGGTACCTATTTATCTACTTGCATTTACATGCTTTCGAACTGCTAGGTTGGCGAGGAGCTGGGACAAAGCGACGGGAGCTCACTCCGTAGCATGGATTCGATCTTACAACTGCTGGTCTTCTGACCCTGCAGCACACAAAGGCTTCTGCGGTTTAGCCCACAGCACCACCACGTCCTACTTATTTACTCAGAAGTAATTCTCATTACATTCAATGGGATTTACTTCCAAGTAAGGGTAAACAGGACTGCAGACAAATAACCATGATCTTGTCCCATATTTACAGAGAATCAAATCCGTATATCAGGGATTTAATTCCAACTTTGTATACATAAGAATCAAGCTTTAGCTTGTCTTTAGAAGTAGTGGGGGAAAGGTATCTGTGTGGCTACAATGCACAAGGCAACCCTAGGCTCACTCGTTCAGATCTTTCAAGCATCCTAATGCAATAAAACTACAATAGAAGAAACCATTGGCATTTATTGCTTCTGTAAGCAAAACTTACATTTTCATCTTGATCTTCATCACTGTCGTCATCACTCACAACCGGTTTGGCTTTTACTCGACTTTGGCGCTTCTTGCCTTTCCCTTTATCCCGGTTTTTGTCATCTTTTTTGTTTAGTTTGATCTTAACTTTTACAGATTTGGCTGGAAAAGAAACACAAGTACAGAGAAATGTTGTGGCCAAAATTAGTGTTTACAATTTGTCAGCCATAAACCCTGACTGCGGAGTCATATAAATCTCACACCAATAAGGGCTCTTCTAAATCACTTATTCCAAGCTATGCATTTAAAAGGTAACATATTTTGGAGACTTTAAAATGGCTTAGTCTGAAGCGATATAAACACAGATGTCCTTTAGGAGTTCCCTTCCCCAATTTCTTTTGCAATCTGACAGGAATGGGAAAGAACAGTGACTCAGAAAACAAGAACAAAGCAACAGATCCCATATACACACAACACAGCTTTGCCTAAAATATATGTTCTGCTGGTTACAAAAGACAAAGCCAGGAATGACATTCATTACCCCATGAGACCTGTTTCTTGTGTTCCGTTTTGAATAGGGAGGACACTTACATTCTGACTCCGATTCATCTTCTTCATCATCTTCTTCCTCGTTGCTCTCTTCCTCACTTTCATCTTCTTTGGCAAGCTTCTGTCGTGCACTTTTGAACACAGACTGGAGAACAATGGAATCTTCATAGATCTGTAGCATGAAAGCAAACCTGCATCAGAACAGCAAGCTGTGCTTCATCAAAAATTGACAGCATGGAATGCTATTTTCTATGCAAACCCACAGAGAGCATGGCTTTTCTCTCCCATGACAAGTCATAAGTCGTGTTGCATGAATTTTACACGAAATGCCGATGTTAATTTTTAATGCACTAAATGAAGGTTTAAAAAACCTCCAGTGACAACCCATAAAATGAAAACATGTATTTCAAAAACACCACTTATTTTTGTTTTATATTATTATTTTATATTTTATTATTAATCCTATTAAAAGAGCCTTCAATGAAAACATGTAATATTTAGCTAATATTTAGCTAGAAACAAACACACTCTTCCACAAGATGAACATGATAAAAGACAAAAATGGGAGGGACCTAACAGAAGCAGAAGACGTCAAGACGAGGTGGCAAGAATACACAGAGGAATTATATCGGAAAGATTTGGATATCCCGGACAATGCAGACAATGTAGTTGCTGACCTTGAGCCAGACATCCTGGAGAGTGAAGTCAAGTGGGCCTTAGAAAGCCTGGCTAACAACAAGGCCAGTGGAGGTGATGGCATTCCAGTTGAACTATTTAAAATCTTGAAAGATGATGCTGTTAAGGTGCTACATTCAATATGCCAGCAAGTTTGGAAAACTCAACAGTGGCCAGAGGATTGGAAAAGATCAGTCTACATCCCAATCCCAAAGAAAGGCAGTGCCAAAGAATGCTCCAACTACCGTACAATTGCACTCATTTCGCACGCTAGCAAGGTTATGCTCAAAATCCTGCAAGGTAGGCTTCAGCAGTATGTGGACCGAGAACTCCCAGAAGTACAAGCTGGATTCCGAAGAGGCAGAGGAACTCGAGACCAAATTGCTAACTTGCGCTGGATTATGGAGAAAGCCAGAGAGTTCCAGAAAAATATCTACTTCTGCTTCATTGACTATGCGAAAGCCTTTGACTGTGTGGACCACAGCAGACTATGGCAAGTTCTTAAAGAAATGGGAGTGCCTGACCACTTTATCTGTCTCCTGAGAAACCTATATGTGGGACAGGAAGCAACAGTTAGAACTGGTCATGGAACAACTGAGTGGTTCAAAATTGGGAAAGGAGTACGGCAAGGCTGTATATTGTCCCCCAGCTTATTTAACTTATATGCAGAATACATCATGCGGAAGGCTGGACTGGAAGAAGCCCAAGCCGGAATTAAGATTGCCGGAAGAAATATCAACAACCTCCGATATGCAGATGATACCACTCTGATGGCAGAAAGTGAGGAGGAATTGAAGAACCTTGTAATGAGAGTGAAAGAGGAGAGTGCAAAAAATGGTCTGAAACTCAACATCAAAAAAACTAAGATCATGGCCACTGGTCCCATCACCTCCTGGGAAATAGAAGGGGAAGATATGGAGGCAGTGTCAAATTTTATCTTCCTGGGCTCCATGATTACTTCAGATGGAGACAGCAGCCCTGAAATTAAATGGCGCCTTCTTCTTGGGAGGAAAGCGATGACAAATCTTGACAGCATCTTGAAAAGCAGAGACATCACCTTGCCAACAAAAGTCCGAATAGTCAAAGCTATGGTTTTTCCTGTTGTGATGTATGGAAGTGAGAGCTGGACCATAAAGAAAGCAGACCGCCGGAGAATTGATGCCTTTGAATTGTGGTGCTGGAGGAGGCTCTTGAGAATCCCCTGGACTGCAAGGAGAACAAACCTATCAGTTCTAAAGGAAATCAACCCTGAATGCTCACTTGAAGGACAGATCCTGAAGCTGAGGCTCCAGTACTTTGGCCATCTCATGAGAAGAAAAGAGTCCTTGGAAAAAACCTTGATGTTAGGAAGGTGTGATGGCAAGAGGAGAAGGGGACGACCGAGGATGAGATGGCTGGACAGTGTCTGTGAAGCAACCAACATGAACCTGACACAACTCCGGGAGGCAGTAGAAGACAGGAGGGCCTGGCGTGCTCTGGTCCATGGGGTCACGAAGAGTCGGACACGACTAAACGACTAAACACACACACACAGTGGACCCTCTACTTAAGGAATTAATCCGTATTGGAATGGTGGCTGCAAGTCAAAAAGTCTGTAAGTCGAATCTCCATTGACCTACAATGCACTGAAAACCGACTAATCCCATAACCAGTGGTTTTTATTCTATTTTTATTCCATTTTGTTTTTTTTCTGGTCTGTAAGTCGATTCTCTGGTTGCAAGTCGAATCTAAATTTTGCAGCCAGAGAAGTCTGTAACTCAAAAAGTCTGTAAGTCGAGCCGTCTGTAAGTCGAGGGTCCACTGTAGTTAATCATAAAGGATACTGAAAAATGATGTGTTTGCAAATTAGTTCTTGAAATAAATTATGGACATTAAATTAATTATCAATCTTAGACAAATAAGAATATTGAAGGATGGAGAAATTCAATGGTCAATTTGTCTAAATATTGGAAACTCTTCCAAATCAATTTATCTGCCTCAGTTGCTTGTTTCATGAAGGGAAATTTGTAACACAGTGGGAGGGAATATTTTTAATTGTAAATATCATAAAAATATATAGCAACCTTCACATTAAACAAGTTCTGTTTTTAAAAAATTTTAAAAATTAAAAGCAAATTAACCTTTGTCTGGTTTTAGCCAATTTGAAAAATGCCCCTTGGGGACCATCTTCCATCCCTGCTTTAAGCTGCTCACTGAGTTTTAAGGAGTATGGATAAGGGATAAGATCAGAACATCCTCTCCCCCACATGCTAATTAACAACCACAAAAGATCCATTGTTTGGGCTGTGAAGAGGTCCCTAAAAAATTAAAAGCTGCCCTAGAGTGGATGGGGGAAATTGATGTTTGTAGATGCATACATTCTGATTCTCAATAAGAGAATTAAAAGCAACAATAATCATTTATATACTACTCTAAATCCCTAACTTACACACAGGTAGTAAAACTTCTATTTACTACCCTGTTACTGCTATTCCCTTCATTAAGATCTTTTCCAGTGTACTAATGCTACAGAAAAAAAACTTGCTGTTAAAAAGAAGCAACATGAAATTTGTTATACACAATTTATGATCTAACACAGTACAAACCAGATCCACAGTGAGAGAAACCTCAAGCTTTTCAATGTCACGTATGCACATAAATACATAGCACACATCAATATTTTAATTACCAAAAGCTACATGATTTGTATCAGACCTGTGATCCTTCCAAGTTGAAGGTCTGAGCATTGTGACACAACAACATGACATCCTTCTCCAGGTCACCAAGGCTCCGATATTTATGGTTACGAATTCTTTCCTAACATGTTTTTACAAAGACGAAGAAATTGGAGGAAGAAAACAAAAGACAAGATGGTTGGTTAACAAACAGTATAATCCCAAACACAACAGATACAATTATCAGTAAGATTAGGTGCTATTATTCTTTTATCATAGACAAATTAGACAGTATAATCTAAGCAAATTCAGATAAAAGCTAATACTCTTCATATGTTCAGTGACAGAACTGGATAACAATGATAACTGGTTGGGCCACAGGGCTTGAAGTGGTGTCACTTTCAGCACTCTTTGAGCAGGGGTTCCCAAAGTGTGTGCTGTGCTGCTCCGAGATACTGCCAAACCCAGCTAGGGGCACTGCGGAATCCCTCCTCTGTCTCTTTGACGAGCCAGCAGTGTTGCTGCTCCTCTGGGTCCTTTGCTTCCTCCATGCCTGCCCCGTGACTCTCCTCCTGCTCCATTGCTGCTGCTGCCACTCAAGAAAACCATGAGTCAAAAAAATAAATAAATTGAAACCACTGTACTAGAGTCATGTAAATAGGGTATTCCAAGAAAAGGTTCTGTGCCCAACTTTGGGGAAATTGTACACACATCCCAAAATTAAATGTACAACAACAGCATCATAAATTAAAATAATCTGAGAGTGTAATTCTATATACTGTAAATTTATTCAGACATAAAATCCACTGAGCTAAATCCATCTGAAACTGCCCAGACCTCAAAATAGCAGTGCTACCATAGTACTAAAAAACAACAAATAAGTTAATTCTGCTGTAATGATTGCTGTGATTTTAGATATTCCTCCAAAGAACAAGAATTATGGTTATTATAAACATAGGATGGTGTAGTGGACAGAATGACAGACTAGGGCCCTGGAGACCAGGCTTTGAATCCCCACTTGGTAATGGAAACCCACTAGAAGAGTAGAATTGATAAAAACGCTCCTTAAATATCTCACTTACCCCGAAAGCCCTATTAGGGTCCCTGTGGCGTTTGCCCAGGTCATGAATATTCATATGCTATTTGCATAGATCAATGGGAGTGTTGGAAGGGCAGACTCAGCAGCAGGAGGAGTTTAGATAAACATAGATAGGGTTTTGAGATAGAGAGATTTGGGAGTTTGGGCAAGAGAGTGGTGGCTGAGAGGGATAAAGGAGAATGTTTAAGAGTTAACAACATTGCTAGTTCTGTCAACACCTGGATCAATAAAAAAAATTTGTTTGGTTCTTTTAAAATGACATATGGCCTGGACCTTGATTATTAATAATAGGTATTGTTGATGAAATCAACTGGTGGCAGCTGAGGGGCACGTAGCATGAGCTCTTTGTTTGGTGAAATAATCAGGGGCCGCATGGGGATTGTGAATGTCACTATAAGTCAGTTCCAATGGCACAAAATTAATGAAACATATATTTGGCAATCAGAGAAAATGGAGCTTTCAAACTGACCTGCAGTAGGTGTACCCACTGCTAATTTCCATGGTTGGATCTAGCTTATCCTACCAAAAATAGCTGAAGTGAAATTTTATTCGGTGTTTTGCCCCCCTCAGAATATAGGTTGGAAGATGGGGATAGATCCTTCTTTCTTATGTAGGTCCCAGCATCATCTTTTCCACTATGCGAGAGGGCTTGAGAAACCATGTTTTAGGGGGCAGGGGACTGCAGGAAGAGGCAGGGGTCAATTAATGCCTTCTTCCTTCTTAATCTTCCACGAACAGAGGAAATGCGTCTGTCTATGGGGAGGCTTCAACAACTCCATGTATTAAAAAACAAGTCTAGTACTCTGTCTCCAAAGCAGTGCTTGATTTCATGCTCTGTCTAGCTCAGCATATGTAAGAATAGTACCTTAATCAACATTCCCTTGAAGACTTAAAGACTTAGGGTTTGTTGCAGTTAAGTTGCCATAGCAGCATAAACTCCCAGAGTACACATAGCTGCTTGGCTGACAGATTAGTCTGCACTTTCAAGAATTTGTTTTAGGTAAGCTGCTATGCTGGCTGGCTAGATCAGTGGTTTAAGGATCTGGCTGTGGAGTCAGAGGTTGGGAGTTCAACTCCCCACCGTGCATCCCAGAAGAGCCAGCCAGTGTGGCCTTGGGCCAGTTGCACAGTCCCAGGATATCCTAGAAGAAAGGAATGGAAAACCACTTCTAAGTATTTTCTACCTGGAATATCCTGAAAAGGGTTGCCTTATGTCAGAATTGACTTGATGGCACATGATGATGATGATGATGATGATGATTAAGCTGCTGACAGCGAACTATTACATACATGAAAGAGTCACAGCAAGCAATATTTTATGCAGGCATGTAATTATAATTTCATTCCAATATTGAAAAGTTTGCATGCATTTGTAAGAGAAATTATTCCCACCTTAATTTTTTTAAAGTCCACTGGCTTTCTAATTAACTCATAGTATTCTGGGTATTCTTTTCTGGAAGGCAGCTGAATAAAGACTTCGCTCAACTGTCGTCCTGAACTGTTAATAGAGAGAAAAAAAGTGTAAAATATTATTAATTGGCTGTGAAAAGAGACTGTATAGACTGCATCCCTCTTCTCCATTCTTAGGCGATGTCCTCACAGAGCTGAGTCTAAGGTAAATGTACAGAATGATTTAGTAGCAATTACCAGCAACCCATTCAAAACTAGTGCTCCTTAGGAAACCCTCAGCTCTGGCCCATTATATGCAAAAGGAGGCTTCTGAAAAATAATGACTCATTCCTAGTACTACCACCATTAAACAAGGGGCTTCTGCAGTTCTGGAATCTAAAAAAACTACACATTTTCTGTCACAACATTCACAGCTGAAATCTTGGATTTTGGCCACATTGGAAACGTATTCATTTTTAGTTTCAGGAGTCACACACAAAACTGTCCATAAAATGCATGTTTTCACAAGCCTCATATGAAAGAGAGCCTAACTGTAAGCTTTAGATGTTTATGACTTTTGTTAGCAGCACTGTATCTCTCAAAACCCATTTGCCAATCTTTGGTATTTCACTAGCAATTCCACTACCTAACGTCCACATTTACAAAAGCAATACAGTCTGTAGATAGGTAAGATATTTCTCAATCTAATTACTCCTAAACAGGGCAATTTCAAGACAGGGTGTCCTCAGGCTACCTCCTTGTCATTGCTGGTGAGTTTTCGCTTCAGGAACACTGCTGCCTATTACCATGATGCGAACCCTAAGCAATTGTCCAGAAGATTGTCAACCAGAAGTGCCCATCCTGGGAGATCAGGTCACAGCACCTCCTGAGACAAATTCTATAGCAGAACAGCCCCCCCTTTTACACCAGGAGCCTCTCCTGCACAACCTGCAATTCCTGCTTGCAGTGTTCTGTGCCAGTAGAGTACCAGAGTGAACAAGACCTATCTGTGTACAGCAGATACTGTGCAACAGTCCAATCCAGCATTCCAAAAAGAAATCCAAAGCCTAGGCGGACCCCAAACACTTCAACCCCAACTGAATGTCTTGCCTCCTGTTCTGCTTTATTTTGAAAATCTGTTTTGGTGCCACTGCTTTTCATGTTTTTATGCTATGTTATTGCTATTTCTGTTGGAATTTAGTGTTACTGTTTGGTTTTAACTGCCTATAAACCACCCAGAATACAGTGGGGTCTTGACTTGAGAACTTAATCCGTATTGGAAGGTGGTTCTCAAGTCAAAAAGTTCACAGGTCAAATCTGCATTTCCCATAGGAATGCATTGAAAACCATTTGATCCGTATCTGCTCTTCTCCGTCCATAGAAACTAATGGGAAGCTGCTATTCTGCCTTCGACCACTAGAGGGAGATATTTTGTTTCTTTTTTTCTTAGGTCAAGAAAGGTTCAGGGAAGGCAGGGAAAATACAGTCCAGGCAGTACAGTACCAGGCAGTCCGAAGACTGTCTCCCAATCCACTCTCTAAACGCTGGGAGGAGTGAGGAAGCAGACAGGCACCCTTTTCACTGGCCAACAGTTAACTGAAAGTTCAAATTTTGCCCTTTCCCTGCCTCCCACGTGGGTTTTTTTTCAGTTCTTAACTCAAATCTAAGTATGTAAGTCAAGTCAATATTTTCCTGAGAGAGCAGTTCTTAAGTCAGAATGTTCTTAACTCGAGCCGTTCTTAAGTCAAGACCCCACTGTAGTGCTTCGGCACTAATGGGGCAGAATATAAATTGAAGTAATAAACAGACAAACAAAAGCAAGTAAATAATTATAACTTTGAAACTGGACCTTGGATCAGCACCAAGTTTTGCACATATGTAGCATTCACCCTTGTTGAAAACAGCCAGAGATGGGGTTTTTTTGTATATCCCTGTGCAGCTGGACTGAATGAGGGTCCGGCCCCTGGGGCTAGACCTTCAACTCATGCATCCAGCCGTGGTGGCCTTGCTCATCCTTCCAATCGCTCCTGGAGCCCCATTCTCATCCTGCTCGGCTAGAGACTCAGCAACTGTGTGGGGAGACTCGTCCTCCCTCACACTGTCTGGAGTGGCTAGCCAAGCGGGAAGAGAGCGGGGCTCCGGGAGCGATTGGAAGGATCGGTGAGGTTGACACTGGCGGACACGTGAGTGGACAGTCTGGCCCCAGGGGCCACACCCTCGTCAAGTCCAGCCCACGGGGGATATTCATATTTGTATATGAATACAGTACCTTCCATCTCTAAAACAGCCCTGACAAGTGCTTTGTGTTTTGGGTGAGAACTGGTTAGCTAATGAAAAAAGGAAGCACCTTCTCAGATTTTACCTTGCATTGTGTTACTCTGTGAATCAGTGTGAGCAGAAGAGGGTATCCTGTAGACTGTCTTGTTGACTACTGCCATTGGTGTTATCAACATTCAGACTGCCCTTTGCTATGTAAAACTTTGCATCCTTTTTCCTGTTGGTAACGCAGGCATGCTATTGTGCAGCAAGATTGGGCCATTTCCTAGCTTTCTAAATTGTGGGTACAGAAGCACAATATCTTACATTCATACACAGAGGATTTTTTTGAAGAACTGAATAATCTGGGTTTCATCTCATAGAATTAGAAATCATGAACTTTGGTGTGGTACTTAGAATAATCTGTTGGACAGCTACAGAACAATCAACTAAAATACTATGTGAGGACTTTATAGAATTCACCTCACCAAAATACAATCTCCAGGATTCCACAGTATAGCACTATGATAGTTAAACTGGTATCAAACTGCTATAACTTTTGTAGCATAGATACATTCCTAGGTTCCAGGACAGAGGACCAACCATTTGAGAATCTCAGTTTTTCAGGAAGTGACTTTAAAAGGGTAGTTTATCCAACAGAGATAAAACACCTCAGCTGGGTCCTACAATTTAATGGCCCAGAGACCTCAAAAATAAAGATTGATTGATTGAACTTAAAAGGAAACATGTGGGGCTAATTGTGCTCCCCCACTTTACACTACCATGCAGGCCATCAGCTGATAAGTGACCAGTTCTATCTGAAAGAGGCCACTTGCTATATACAAACATAGGGAGATAATTAGTTGCTAACACACAGGATTGAGACTGCTGAAAACTAGGCAGGGATTTCAAATCTTGGAGCCAGAATCTTGTTGGGTACCTTGTAGTGTAATTGAAAATTGTGCAAACGGAGTGAGTGATCTTGCCCGCTGTGTGTTACCTGTTCGGACATGCCCAAGTTATGCAATACACCTGGGAATGAGACAAACAGGCAGCAAATACGGTATGTAACTAATTGCATGATTGCTCTTACGTGTACAGTATTTCACAAGAGGATTTTGGTCTAGATATTCAAATTATGAGATACTACTATGTAAGCAGTTTACAATTACCGCTTAGAAGCTGTAGTAAGTAGCATGTTTGGGGAAAAAAAAACCTTGATTCTGTATTTTAACTGAGAATTCAATTTTAGGAAATGCAGCAACAAAATTCTTTGCTGGGAGGAATCTAGACTAAGTAGAGAACAGTCAGGTCTAATAATACTAAAAGTACTTGGGAGAGATATGCTGTCAAAGAGATACATATTAAACAGCCACCTATTTTGCTTCCGTTTCTAAAACAGCAACAGAATACTTAGCTTTACCTTAAAAAATGCGCAGAAACCAAACATCTGACTCCACCTTTTGACAGAAAGATACCATTTCTTAGTCCCTTTGTGTATATGTAATGAAATATTTAAAAAACATAAATACCTAGAAAGCATTTCTTTTGAAAGAAAAACTCTAATGACTCAAAATGAGGATATGCCAAATGAAAATTGTAATTTATGAAAAAGCTAATCTAAACTATCTAGTTTTCATATATATCCTTTAAAAATACTCCATACAAATGAAAGATCTATCAAACATAAAAAGCATGCGCACTGTGCCTCTTCTGGTTGCTTAGCAACTAGCACCCTATATGCTAAGAGCAATAGGATCTGCATAAATTAACAGAATCTACAGAAAGATGAGTGGCATCTCAGTACTGTACTGCAACAGCGAAAGGACATACAAGTATATATGTAGAAATATACATATTGAACAGATTTGTTACAAGTAATATAACA